TCAACGTCACCTCTGCGTTCTGTGGTTCCGTAAGTACTAAGAAAATCGGGGAACAATCCCATTGTGAGATCGAGGAACATCAAGCTGTAAATGGCACGACTTTGTACCCGGAGTGAGTTCTCAAATCGACCTCACTAGTGCGCGCGCAACAAACCTGGAAGTTTTGATTTGACTGGCCGTTTGTACGGCAACTCCTGTGGTATAGGCTGGGGTTGAAGGTAGGGATCCTGAAGAACAGGCGGCGTTCGAAGAAGGCATGAGAGGCGCATTTCTAATTCATTAACTTTTGCTTCCTCCGACAATTTCCGCTGCAACGAAGAAAAGGGACCGTAACTGGCGCACCCGGATACCACATAGGTTCATCTCTAACTGCAGATGTACCCGATTATTCCAGAAACGGATCTCTTCCTCCAATTTTGCCCGCTGCTTCTCTCTTCGACTCATGGAGGTTGTAACGGCGCTTGTCAAATTTGAAAGCCAACCCTCTGATAAATAAGGGGTGTTGCTCACACGTGAGCACCAATCATCAGCATCCGGAGAGGCCAATGACACGACCGAGCTCATTATTGTTGACGTACCTGAATTATCTGACACAAGAACGACTTAGAGATGGGATTAGTCAGTAGAATCACTTTCAAGCAATGCTAAAGTGCAGATGGTAACCCCAAAACTGCTGACCCTACTATATCTTGATGATGAAACAACACAAAGACAGCAGCTTTTGACAAACTAAAATTAGGTGAAAACAAGCAACAATTGGAAATATGTAACACTTATGCAGGAAATATACTGTAGCGGTGATAATAGCACATCATTTAAACAATAAGCAAAAACATGTCTTGAAGTTTAGAAATGAAGCTTGACTTACCTGACCTTGATTTAGGCGTAGCGTCTGGACTATAATGGAAGATAAGTTATCACAAGCCCACAGCCAACGTAAAAAATCAAAGGCAAATAAAAAGGCATAAGTCATCAAAACCAATTGCGACGGAAAGGCGTGATCCAAATATGCACAGTCGAATTTGCAAAATGGTAAATACAGAAAAAAATAGAAGCTTGAAACACATAATTTCTTATAGAAGACCAACCCAATCTCCTTCCTGCTAGCTGTCAAGGGTCGGGAGTCGAAAGACACTAAACCAGAACGTGCTACATCCAGCAACTGCTTGTATTCGCCCACGCTCAAGCCAGTTGGGGAATTTTCCATTGAAATAAAAGGCTTTCGAAATCTCGGGTTACTTTCGGTTCCCTAAAGAGTGGTAATGCTTCAGATCTTTGAAAGCGCTCCAAAAGAACAGGAGAGTAATTAATGTAGTTACAGGCGAGACCACAAACGATATGTCCGGGACAGCATCGGGATCTGGAGGCGCAAAAGGCTTTTCCGGGCCATTTTCTCCAAGAAACTTCGAGAAGAGAGTTGATGACCTTATTTCAAGCCTAGAATCAAGGAGAATCCCCATGTCATTAATAGCACAGAGTCCGTTAAGCCTCCTAAAGTCATCGAAACGTACTTGGGTATCTTAGGCGGGAGTTGGCAAGCAAATTCGTCTGATTTTCGCGATGTATTTACGCTATCCTGAGACCGAGAAGCCAGACTTGTATTACTGTCAAAAGACCCCATTTGTTTAAGCATCACAGGCTATCAACCTTAAAGCAGACAGATAAGTTCAGATAACCCGCATAGCCAACGAATCAAATTTCGGAGCGAGATTATTCGTCAATAAGGTAACAGCATTGATAACAATGTAGCGAAACTCCCATGCTTATAGCTACAAAATGTTTCTTTCAAAGCAAGGAAATGAAGCGGTTTCAATGTGTTCTCTTGTGAAGGAGTAAATTAAGCAGAAAGAGTACCTATTCTAGGCATTACAGGATTTAGTGCATAACAAAGCCGAATAACATGCATAACCGGCTTAAAGTATAAATGTACTCCCTTGTGTAAAATAGTGACCAACTACTCCTTTGACATGGCATCCATTAATATGGAATTTTGTAAGATTTGTTATCATCAAGACGTCCGAATAATTTTACCCACTTGATCTGATTTTTGCCATCATAAAACAGCCGTATTATTCTTTGAAACGACTTATATGACACTTCCATAGATTTGTTTTCAAAATGGCCAATGTTCAGTAGTATTTGCTTCTCGGTAACAAATCAAGACGTCGCATGAGAGTGGATCTTAATGCTTTCTCCATTGTAAATCGCAATGCAGACGATTCACAACAAGGTCCTATAATTTAACTTATTCTAACAAAGTTCTTAACTTTAGCCCTTCAGGTTAAGTCCTTATAGACCGTTTATTTTGCAAAAAAGGTGTTCCCGTTCTCAGTTTGTGATGTTCTCTTTGATCACTTTAATTATGTGTTCCACAACCTCGGTAGATAACTCCCGTGGAACAAGCGACATGCCCATCTTGGTTAGCGGTGCTACCAATTCCTGTGGATCTACGTCCTCAGGTTCACGAAATTTCTCCCTTATCTTCTGTCCATAATACACTCTTTGCCCACTAGCCGTATTTGCTTTCAGCCATTTGCAACACTCTTCGAACATTTGTGCATTCCATCCCGACTCTTCCAGCTTTCCAGGGAGATAATTGGATATTATGCGTTCGGCGCCTGTCATCTGCAAAACATTCTTTACTCTTTCAGCCTCCATTTCTTCCACCGCAGAATCGCATCGGCCTGGACGTACAAGGGGTGCTATAAGGCCTGGCCTGTTCATCTCGCTTCCTGTCGCTAAAGTGCATTAAGGATGTATCGATTTTTTATCTTTACACTTGATTGGCTCAGACACGGAACAGCACGTGAAAACCTTTGAAGGTACTATTGTTACTCAAACTGAGTTTCTTCAAACTGTGTGAGTAATTTTATAATAGTTGAATCAGAATCAACGAGAAGAGAAGAATACTGTTCATGTTTTATAGGTTAATAATAAGAGATTTTAGACAGTATAATTGTGCTGTGGGTATTCGACCAATCCTAGCTGATCGCTGTGCTCACGTGTTGGAAGAATCCAAAATCTGAGGAATTGGCGTTTTCGCATCCAGAAGAAGAGTATTACTGATGCCACGACGAAGGGTACCATTACGACCGCAGCGATGAGGATTCCATAGATGGGACTCACTGGACCGTAGTCAAAGTAAAACGTAAAATGAGACGCCAGTGTTGCCCAGGCGGATGATCAATTTGTAAATCTGCTTGTCAGTAAGAGACACTTTGGCGCAAGTGCTTTAGATTAGCAATCCTGTTCAAATGTCATACTGATCCTCCATAGAGCAATTAAACATCAAAGCTTGTATTAAATCATCGCCTGCCCTTCTTTTTATTACTGCAAGATGTTTGATAAAGCATTGAAAATTCATTTGTATTCAACCAGGGCGTGTTAAAAATAAGAGATGAAATACAGTGGTAGCGGACAAAAGGGAGCTCTTTTTAATCCGCCTTTCACAGGGAAAAAGGATAGTAAATATGATCTGATGGATGTTAAAAAGATGAATGAAAGAACAAGGATTAAATTGGCGCCTAGGCATCGTATTTGGGGTATTGTGAGGCGACCAGTTGGAGGGCGTCCGACGCCTCTGACGTGGGAACCCACTCCTTTCTCGCTTTGTAGCGACGACAATAGAAGAGACCCGTGAAGGTGATGATTAATATTGGGAGGATAATCAGACAACCCAGAAAGAGGCCGCTCATGAAGCTATCTAGAAGACCGAAAAGTCCTACTGTTTTACTACACCGTCTCGAGGTGGTTGTGCATAGAGGTATTTTGATCATCTTTAATGCTGAAGTCAAGAAGTCAAGACTGTGCATCACAGAGTCTAAAAATTTTGTTTTTATATGGTGTAGTAGGTCAGTCGTG